CCTCCCCCCTCTCCCTCCCTTCCTTCCTCCCCCACCCCTTCCCCCAATCCCCACCCACTCCCCCCCATCCCCCAACATCTATAAACATCAGCGCCCCCCGCCCCCCCCCTCTCTCCATCCCGTCAAAGCTTTTATATCTCTCTAAAACATCGACTTAGGCAGCATCTTTCGACAGGGATCTCCGTCGACTTAACTGGCGCTGGGGACTCGACTAAACTGTTTGCTCTCCGCGATTACGAGCAACGCCCATGTTAGTGCAAGAATTTCGGGGGTGATTAGGAGGTCAGGTGTGTGGTGTGGGGGCGGGGGGGGGGGGGGGAAAGGGGGGGGTGGGGAGGTCAAGTTGTTGTGTGTGGGGGGGGGGTGAGGAAAGAAGCAGCAGGATAGAATTATTGAAGGAGGTTGATGGCGAAGGATGTGGTGAGGGGGCGGGGGGGTAAGGGGAGGAGGAGAAGTAGGGGGAGGAGGGGGAGGTGTGGGTAGAGGTAAGGGGAAGGGAGGGTAGGGGGAAGAGGAGGGACGGCGGGAGGGGGAAAGGGAGGATGAGGAGGACTAGGTGGGGGGAAGGGGAGGTGTTGGGGTAGGGGATGTGTGGAGGGGTGGGTGGGTGAGGGAAAAGGATGGGGGGAAGATGGGGGAGATAGCAAGGGACGGAGGAAGAGAAGTAAGTGAAGGAGGAAGGAAGAGGGTTAGAGGGAGGATGGACGTGAGAGGAGGAGGAAGAAGAAGAAACGGAGGAAGAGAAGGAGGAAGAGGAGGGGAGACAGAGGAGGAGGAAGGAAAGAGAGGAAGAGGAGGAAGAGGAGGAAAGAGGAGGGAGGGAGGAGGAAGAAGAAGAAGAGGAAGGAAGAGGAGGAGGAGACAGAGGAGGAGGAGAGAGGAGGAGGAAGAGAAGAGGAGGAAAGAAGAGGAGGGAGAGGAGAGGAAGGAAGAAGAAGAAGAGGAAGGGAGAAAAGGAGATGAGGAAGAAGAAGAGGAAGAATAAGAAGATGAAAGGATGGAGAAGAAAGAAGAAAAGAGAGAAGAGAAGAAGGAGAAGAGAGAAGAGGAAAGGAGGAAGATGTCCAATTCGCAAGGATTTTCCTCTGTCTTATCTCTACGCTTTATTTCTTTGTATTTTTTTTTTTTTACTTCTGTATTCTTGCTTTTGTTTTTTTCTATCTTTCTTTTATTGGGTATTCTTTTTGTGTCTCTCTCATCGCCCAATCTTTTTCTCTCCCTTCTCTTTTTTCTCATTTTTCTCTCTGCATGACGCCCTGTTTCTTTCCCCTCTCTCTCTCTTCCTCTTTTTCCCCTCAACCCTCTGTCTCTGTCTGTCTGTCTGTCTCTCTCTCTCACTTTCTCTCTCTCTCTCTCTCTCTCTCTCTCTCTCTCTCTCTCTCTCTCTCTCTCTCTCTCTCTCTCTCTCTCTCTCTCTCTCTCTCTCTCTCTTACAATTCCTGTTTCTATTCACTGTTAACAAAATATACGCACATGTGTGATACATTTTTTTTAGAATGAATTTTCTTGTCTTTTACACTTTCTCGCGCCGAAAAGTTATTGTCATCTACCTTCCTCCTCTTCTCATACTGTTCCCTTCCTCTTTCCTTTGTCTTTTTTACCATTTTAACATATCACAGACAACACACACACACACACGCACACGCAAACACAGCACACACACACACAAAGCACACACACACACACACACACACACACACACACCACGCACAAAACACACACACAAAACAAACACACACACACTCACACACACACACATACACTCACACGCACACATACAAACACACACACACACAGACATTCATGCCTTCCTTCACCCCACTTTTTCCTCCCAAATAATTTTCCTCCTTCTCCCTTCCCTCACTTTTTTCTTTTCCCCTCCTCTCTCTCGCTGTGTGTGTGTGTGTGTGTGTGTGTGTGTGTGTGTGTGTGTGTGTGAGTATGTGTATGTATATGTATATATATATGCATATATATATGCATATATATATGTATATATATATATATAATATATATATAATATATATATATATATATATATATATATATATATATATATATTATATATATATCCCCTCCCCTCACTTTCTCCCTTTTTATCTCCCCCCTACACTCTCTCTTTCTTTCTCTTCCTCTTCACCCGTCCCCCCTACTCTCTCTTTTTCTTTCTTCCTCTCTCTCTCTCTCTCTTTCTTCCCCTCTCTCTCTTTTCTCACTTCTTCTCTCTTTCTCTCTCTCTCTCTCTCACTGTCTTCCTCTCTCTTTCCCTCTCTCCCTTTCTTCTCTTTCTTTCTTTCTTCTCTCTCTCTTCTCTCTCTCACTCACTGTCTTCCTCTCTCTCTCTCCCTCTTCGCCCAAGTCCCCAACGTCGCATTGTGGATCTGTGAAGTTAACCCAAAGATGCCACCACACTGCCTGTTGCTTAGTGTTGTTTGTTGCCGCTAGGTGGCCGCCTCTGCCTCCGTGTGGGCGCTGGGTTAAAACCTTTTCCAAGGTGTTGAGTGTCCTTTCCTTTTTTGGGATTTATTTGATTGTGCGTGTGTACGTGTTTTGGTTTTTGTCCTCGTTGTCTCTTTTTTGGTCTAATTTTATTTTTGCGTTGGCTGTTTATTTTTTATTTTTTCTCTTTACGTTCTTCCGTTGTGGCACACACACACACACACACACACACACACACACACACACACACACACACACAACATATATATATATATATATATATATATATATATATATATATATATATATATATATATATATATATATATATATATATATGTATATGTATGTATGCATACATATATACTATATATATATATATATATATATATATATATATATATATATATATATATATATATATATATATTATATATGTATGTATGTATATATACATATATATATATATATATATATATATATATAATATATATATTATATATATAATATATATATATATATATATATATATATATATATATATATATATATATATATATATATATATATATTATATATATACACACACACACACACATGTACATATATACTATTGTATTTATGTATATTCAAATCGAGATATGTACATTTCTCTAAGTGTTAATTTGAATTATCTATTTTTTTTCTCCACTTTGCGTCCCATAAAAAATAGAATGAAATATCCCTATTCTCTCTATTTTCCAAAATCATATGATAATTCGAGCGGATGACGTCATCGACCTTCTCCTTCCCGCGCAAAGCCTCGAAGGAAAATCTGGATCCACTCTGGCCGCGGAAAAGAGAATACGCTCTAGATAAATTAGCACCCAAAGCGAGCCAACACGATGCTGTTTTGTCTCGGAGGGATTAAGGTCGAAAATGCCTTACCGATACCCCGTGCCTGAACCTTTACTGGCTTTTAGTGGGTTGATAAAAAAGTAAAAAAAAAAAAAAAAAAAAAGTAAAAAAACAAACAAACAAACTTTAGAAGAGGAAAACCAATGGTCAGAGAGAGAGAGAGAGAGAGAGAGAGAGACAGAGAGAGAGAGAGAGAGAGAGAGAGAGAGAGAGAGAGAGAGAGAGAGAGAGAGAGAGAGAGAGAACAAAGGAAACGAAGGAAGGGAAACAAAGACATTAACCAAAATCTGAAAATCCACAAACCAAAACGTAAATAAAAATAGCGATGACCACCCAACTTCAGAATAAAGAAAATTTAAAAAAAGATCGTAATGATAAAAATGAAAATGAAAAATTATGATCATAATGACTACGTTTATGATGCTGTTAATAATGATATTGATAATAATACAGTGATGATAATAGTTGTCTGATAATGATGATGATGATAATAGTAATGATAATATTAATGATAATGTTACTGATGATAATAATGATGATGCAAATGAGAAGAATGATGACAAAATAAATAATGATGAAAATGTTGATAAGAATATAATAATGATACTGATAAAGGTAATAACGATAAAATGATAATCATGATAACGGCAATGAAATGATAATAGTAACACTATTAAAATGATAATAGTAACTACAATAATGATAATGATAATAGTAATTTTAATAATTATATTGATAAGAACAATAAGAACAGCAATAATAATAATGATGATAACAACAACAACAATAATAATAATTATTAATTGTTATAATGATAACAATAATGATATTAGTAATAATGGTGATAATAACAAAAACATTGATGATAATAATGATAACAATAACAATAATACAATACTCATGATAGGGATAATAGTAATAACCATAATAATCCTGCTGATAACAATGAAATGATAGTAATAAAAATGGCAAGAAGGACAATGATGATGTCGATGGTGATAACAAAAACACTAATAATTTAAGAATAATATTGACAATGACAATAATAACAATGATAACAATAAGGGTAACAACAAAAACAGTAAAAGTAGATGCAACAAGAACTACAAGAATGGCATTAATGATAATGGTGTTAATGATAACAACAATGATGAATATTATGATGATAATGAATATGATAATAATGATTGCAGTAATGGTAATGACGATCATAATAATAATAATAATGATTGATAATGATGATCATAATAATAATGATGATCATAATAATAATGATGATCATAATAACAATGATGATCATAATAATAATAATAATGATTGTAATGATGATAGTGATAATGATGGCAATAATACTAATGATGATGGTATTGACAATGATAATGATATTGATAAAATTATAAGAAAGATTACAATAGTTGTAATATTGATGATAATGATGATGATACTACTACTACTACTACTACTACTACCACTACTACTACTACTACTACCAATGATGATGACGACAATGATAACAACAGGAATAATAATCACGATAAACGGATAAACGGGAGAGCTACGTCGCGCGGTGTGTGGAGCAGCGAAGTCGGCGGTCGTGCAGCTACACCGACAGCGCGTCCAACACTGGGGTCTAAGGGGTGGTTGAAAAACGCCTGGGGGGGCTGATGGGACTACCTAAGGGGTCGAAAGGGGGTCGATCAACGCCTGGGGTCAAAAATAGGGGTGATCAACGCCTGGGGTCAAAAGAGGGGTCGATCAACGCCTGGGGGTCAAAAGAGGGGTCGATCAACGCCTGGGGGTCAAAGAGAAGGGGTCGATCAACGCCTGGGGGTCAGGGGTCGATCAAATCAAAAAAAGGGGTCGATCAACACTGGGGGTCAAAAAGGGGTCGATCAACTGGGGGTCAAAAGAGGGGTCGATCAACGCCTGGGGTCAAAAGGGTTCAACGCCTGGGGGTCAAAGAGGGGTCGAATCAACGTTGGGGGATCAAAATGAGGGGTCGATCAACGCCTGGGGGTCAAAAAAAGGGGTTGATCAATACCTGGGGGTCAAAAGAGGGGTCGATCAACGCCTGGGGGTCAAAAGAGGGTCGATCAAATCGCCTGGGGAAAGGGGTCGATCAAGGTCAAAGAGGGTCGAAGGGGTCAACGCCTGGGGGTCAAAAGAGGGGTCGATCAACGGCTGGGGGTCTAGGGGTGTCAATACCTGGGGGTCAAAAGAGGGGTCGATCAAATGCCTGGGGTCAAAAGAGGGTCGATCAACGCCTGGGGGTCAAAAAAAAGGGGTTGATCAACCTGGGGGTCAAATAGGGGTCGGCCTGGGGGTGGTCGATCAACGCCTGGGGGTCGAAAAAGAGGGTCGACAACGCCTGGGGGTCGAAAGAGGGTCGATCAAACGCGGGGTCGAAGAGGAGGTCGATCAACGCCTGGGGTCAAAAAGAGGGTTCGATCAACGCCTGGAGGGGTAAAAGAGGGTCGATCAACGCCTGGGGGTCAAAAGAGGGTCGATCAACGCCTGGGGTCAAAAAGAGGGGTCGATCAACGCCTGGGGTCAAAAGACGCCTGGGGGTCAAAAGAGGGGTCGATCAACCCTGGGGTCGGAAAGAGGGTCGATCAAGGGGTCAAAAGAGGGTCGATCCAAAAAGAGGGGTCGATCAACGCCTGGGGTCAAAAGAGGGTCGATCAACGGCTGGGTCCGGTCGATCAAGGGGTCAAAGAGGGTCGATCAATCAAAAGAGGGTCGATCAACGCCTCAAAAGAGGGGTCGATCAACGAGGTCAAAAGAGGGGTCGATCAACGCCTGGGGGTCAAAAGAGGGGTCGATCAACGCCTGGGGGTCAAAAGAAAAGGGGAGGGGTCGATCAACGCCTGGGGGTCGAAAGAGGGGTCGATCAACGCCTGGGGGTCAAAAGAGGGGTCGATCAACGCCTGGGGTCAAAAGAGGGTCGATCAACGCCTGGGGGTCAAAAGAGGGGTCGAGCAAAAAGAGGGGTCGATCAAGGGGTCAAAAAGACGATCAACGCCTGGGGTCAAAAGAGGGGTCGATCAACGCTGGGGTCAAAAGAGGGGTCGAGGCATCGGGGGGTCAAAAAGGGGGTACAATACACCTGGGGGTCAAGAAGGGGGTACAATACACCTGGGGATCGATTGTAGGTTTGGGGTCGAAAACTGCGTGAAATGTAAAGTGCGTGAAATATAATTTGCTGAGGTGCGTTCTTGATTTTATATATAATTATTTTATTTATTGTCTTTTTTATTTCATAATCTGTGCACCATAATAAAAAAAAAAAAAAATACAATAATTTTTCATTATTTGGAATCATAAGACAATGGACCGTTGTGGTAAGACCTTCACATGGCCGGGGTAATCTAGATTTTTTTTTTTCTTAACTCACGTACTTTTATTTGATTTTATTCATTTATTCATTTCTTTTAATTACTTGATTAACGTTATATTGTTCACCATGAACACTGTGGTCTTGTAACATTTTAAAACATCTTAGCTGAAGCCTTACTTTTATTTTGGTGTGCAGTTCCCATTACACACACATTTGCACAAAGGTACACAGACACACATATATATGTCCACACACACACACACACACACACACACACACACACACACACAAACACACACACATACACACATACACACATACACACACACACACACACACACACATACACACACACACACACACACACACACACACACACACACACACACACACACACACACACACACACACACATATATATGTATATACGTAATTTACCCAAACTTAACAGTAATAAAATATAGTAATGATAACAATGAAAGTAATTGTACGATAATGATGACAATGATAATGATAATAAAGATAATGAATTAAACGGATGGAATGAGAATATTATATTGGTGATAAGAATAGTGATGGTAATGATAGCAATAACAAGAATGATGATAAAAGTAACAATAATAATTTTGATAATAATGATAATGATGATAATGATAATAATGGTAGTAGTAGTAGCGTTAGTAGTAATGATAATGATAATAAGGATACTATTAGTAACAATAACAACGATGATAACAATACAACAATAATGAAAAATGATAATAATGATTATGATGATAGTGATATCAATGATAATGGTAATGATGATGATAATGATAATAAGAGCAACAATGATGACAGTAATGGTAATAATGATAAGATTAATTATAATAATGAGAATAATGATAATCATAAAATCATGTTAATAACGATAAGGATAATAATGATAACAATATTACTCATAGCAATATGAATAGTATTGTTATCATGATTTCAATCATTATTGATAATAATGATAAATGATGTGATAATAATGATTATTATAGTAAATGATGATGATGATGATAATAATAATAATAATAATAATAATGATTAATAATAATAATAATGATAATAATATAATAATAATAATAATAATATATAATATAATAATAATAATAATAAATAATAATAATTAATAATGATAATAATAATAATATTAATAATAATAATAATAATAATAATAGTGATAATAATAATGATAATAATATTGAGAATTATAATAACGATAATAATAATAATAATAATAATAATAATGATAATAATAATAATAACAATAATGATAATGTCAATGATAATAATAATGATGATGATGGTGATAAGAATAATAACAATAACGAAGATAATACTGATAATGATAATGATAGCAATGATAATGGTGATTGTAATAATGATGTTAAAACTAGTATTAGATATAGTAATAGTAATAACAATGATAGTAATAATTGTAGTAACAATAATAATAATGATAATGATGATGAAGATAATAATAACAATTTAATGATTATGATAGTAATGATATTGATAATGACAATGGTAATAACAATAAAGTAATAATGATGATGATAAGATGATGAAAATTATTGTAATGATAATGATATTAATGGTTAGAATAATGGTTATGATAAAATGATAATATAATAATGATAATAATAATGATAATGATAATGATATTAGCGATAGTAATAATGATAATGATAATAATATTAGCGATAGTAATAATGATAATGATAATGATAACAAAAATATGAATGACGATGATAGTGATGATGACTGTTACTACTACTACTAATGATGATAATAGTAATAATTGTAGTCATGATAATGATGATAATAGTAATAATTGTAATAATGATAATAATGATATCATTATTGATAATTACAATAGTGATCAAAATTATAATGATGATAATGATTATAATAGTGCCAGTATTTGTAATGATGATAATGATGATGACCGTAATAACATTGACAATTATAACTATGATGATAATAATAATAAAAATGATAATAATAATAATAATAATAATAATAATAATAATAATAATAATAATAATAATAATGATAAAATAGAAATAATACCAACGATAAATATGATAATAATGACGAAAATAACAATGATGATAATGATAAGTAAATATAAAGACTATGATTATGTTGATTCATGTATGCATTTATATAAACCGAAGCCATACTACGAATATAAGTCACAATTAATGAATAGATTAACAACCGATGAACAGATACAGTGATAAACCACACACTAATTTTGGACCTTGCTTTATCAGTGTGCAAGGACCTCAACATGACGCATTTTTCTGCAATGTGCAATGCTCTGCGCTCCACTCGCTTGTCCTACAGCTGTTGACCCAGTACTAGCGGGATTCGTTTGGGGAGGGAGGGGAGGGAGGGGCAGGGAAGAGAGGGAGGAGGAAGGGGGATGGAAGAGCAAGAGGGGAGGAGGGGGTGTAGGCGTGGGGGTGGGGTGGGGGGGAGAGGTGGAGACAGAAAGGGGGGGGAGGTGGGAGGGTGGAGGTGGAGAGAGGTGGGGAGGGTAGGAAGGAGGGAGGAGGGAGGAGTAAGGAGGGGGAAGGTGGGGGAAGAAAAGAGGGAGGAGGTGAGAGGGTGAGCAGAGGGTGGGGAGAGAAGAGGATGATGGGGAGGATGAGGACGGAGGGGGTGAGGAGAGGCGGTAAGGGAGGAGGAGTAGGAGGTGGAGAGAAAGAGGGAGGAGGAGGGAGGATTTGTAGCGGAAGGAGAGAGAAAGCGAGTGGAGGAGAAGAACAAGTTGGAAAGGGAGAAAGAGAACTTATAGGGGGCAAGGAGACAGAGGGAAAGAAAGAGAGAGAGGATGAGAGAGATGAGTGCCCCCACGTGAGAGAGGCTCGACGAGGAGAGAGAGAGCGAGCAGAGAGGAGAGAGATGAGAAGGAGAGGAGGAGAGAGAAGAGACGAGAGCGAGAGAGCACTCGTGCCAAGAGACCGAGAGAGACCAGAGACCGAGAGAGGCGAGGGAGAGACGAGGAGGAGGAGAGGAGAGAGAAGTGCTGGAGGTTGACGAGAGAG